ACTAGAAAAAACAAAACATTACAACAAATCACAAGCAATGGGTGGATTCTCAAGCCAAGAATTCCAAGCTATATTAGCTTTGTTACACCTATTCAAAACCCAAAAAAAAAAAAAGAATTTTTAACAACGTCATTAAAAATGGCTGATTTCCTAGGCAACACTGTTCCAAAGAGAATAGAATTACGAAAATTCCAAATCATTATCATACATACTTATAAAGCTTGCATTTTTTCTTGAACCACATCCATTTGAAACTCCCATGTATTTTTTCCTTTCACCACATTCATTTGAAACTCCCATGACTTTTCAATTTCTTTCTAATAATTATTATAAGTTGGTTAATAAGGTTAATAAATATCAAACCTAAAGTGTAATCATATATAAACTAAATTTAATATTAAAAAATATATATTTTCTTCTATTTATAAAGTTTGTTTTTAACTTTTAACATATTATACTTAATTTATTAGGTCTAATATTTTGTATGTAAACAATTATCATTTTAAAACTACAACTTTTGATCAATTTGTATAAAATACTTAAATTGTTAATTTAAATATAACCTTACAGGATCAACTTAAATATAAAATTTAGTTCAACTTAAACAACCCAATAAATATTTTGTAAATAGTTAAAAGTGATAAACTGTAGTGTCTTTCTAATAATGATTATAAATTGATTAATAAGGATAAATAATATCAAACTTAAAGTGTAATAAAAAAATATACTAAATTTCAATATTAAAATAGTATTTTTACTTCTACTTATAAAGTTATGTTTTTAACTTTTAACATATGATACTTAATTTATTAGATTTAATATATTGTTGTATGTAAACCATTATTAGTTTAAAGCTACAACTTTTGAATTGTATAGACAAAATACTTAAATTGTTAATTTAAATATAATATTACAGGGTCAACTTCAATATAAATTTCAGTTCCACTTAAAAAAACCCAAAGAAAATTTTGTGAATAGTGAAAAGTGATAAATTGTAGTGCTAAATGCAAAAAACTAAATTGTAATATCAATTCACTAAAATATTTCCTAAAGATATTTTTATAATCGTTAAAACTTTTGAAACAAGTAGCTTAAAATAATTTACAATAACAATAGTTAAAAATAACTCTATATAAAGGATTATATTGTTACTTTTAAAATAAAAATAAAAATTTGTTAGATGTTTTAAATAATTACACTAATAGAAATTAAAACGTTAAGCAAATAAATTTTAAAAATGAATTAACAATAACAACAACTATAAATAATATTAAACCATATATTATATTTAATTTTATTCGTGTGTAACCTACAGGTAGAGGTCATTTAAAAGATTGAGATTATGCAGTTTTAATAGATGTATATATTATCATATAATTCAAAATAATCAATATATTATATCATCTTAGTATACGAATTATTATATCAAATTTAACAACGATATTATTGTTATATTAAAAAAAGATTTCAACTATATAGATGTTTCTGCGCAACGTGCGGGCATTCACCCAGTACACCATAAAGCAGTCATGATCACCACATCGAAAGCTTTCCGTGTACCACTTCTCCAAGCAACCGAATTAGACCAAAACAATAAGGAATCTATGGAAAGATGTTGAGGATTTTGGACACCCCACCAAATGGCAATTCTAGACCAAAGATCAATCAACTCACTACACCCAACAAACAGATGATGAGTAGACTCAACCATAACCGAACAAACTGGACACAAGATTGAATCCAACGAAATACCCCTTTGTGAAAGATTTGCTCAAGTAGGAATCCCTTTTAATCTCAATCTCCCTATAAAAATATTCAACTTAATTGGAACCCAATTATTCCAATAAGTATCGCCACCACCTATAGACACCATACCATTATCAATATAAGATCTAGTTGAAGATACTGTAAATGATCACATGTATCCAAGATCCAACCCAACCGATCCAAACTGGAATTAAGTTGAATCCCCTGCATCAAAGTCAAAAGGCCTCCCCCTAGGACTGCTCAATGCCCCCCCCCCCCCCCCCCCGAGGTATTCTCCTAAGAGACGTAGTATCCCAGCCCATCAACACCCTATCACGGACTAAAGAAAGTTTATGAGAATCCAAAGCAAAGACCCTACGGAAAATCTCTACAAAAGGCCGATCTCCTATCCAGGTAACCTGCCAAAAGAAGAACAACTACTATCTCCAATCTGAATTGGACACAAAGAAAGCAAATCTAAACCACGATCTCGCAGCTGAGACATCACACGAATAACACCATTCCAAGGACCCAACCAACCGTTTTTAGGGAGTAAAGAACCACGGCCTCCATCAGAACCATAAATAGCCTTAACTAAACGAACCCATATGAGATCAGGATTGTGGAAAAAACACCATCTCCACCTAAAAAGCAAAGCCCTATTAAAAGAGAAAAGGCTACCAACTCCAAGCCCGCTTTCTTTCCTACTAACCAACAACCTATCCAACTGAATCCAATGCATACACCTGTCATCAACCTCCGCACCCCAAAAGAATCTTGAATGTAACTTCTCCAAGGACTTAAGAACCGAAATGGGAACCAAAAAATAGACATCAAATAACTTCCCAAACTCCCCAGAACAAACTTGATCAAAGTCAGATGACCGCCAAAGGAAAGAGTTTTCACCTTCCACCCCGACAGCTTAGACCGAAAACGATCAACAATAGGGGACCAAGTCAAAACTTTGGGTATACATTGACCAACCATAACACCCAAATGAACAAAAAGAAGATAACCTGGGGCACACCTTAACTTGCGAGCCACTAACTCTACATGATGGTTAAAGACACCAACCCCAATCAATTTGCTTTTTTGTAAATTAATTTTAAGACCAAGAGCTAGATAAAAACACCGCAATATGAAGAATCGAATCAACATTCTTAGAATCCCAAGGAGACAACAAAAAAACATCATCTACATAAAGAAGATGTAAGATAGCACCCCCACAAATAGAAACACCTCTAAAAACACTTAGAATATGAGCTTTTTGCAAAGCAATATGAAGACCCTGCATTGCCAATATAAAGAAAAAAGGAGATAATGGATCTCCTTGTCTCAAACCTCTTTGAATCTGAAATTCTCCAGTAAGTGAACCATTCACTAAAACTGAAACCCTAGCTGAACGAAGAAGCTCCAAAATCCAAGAACACCAAGTAGACCCAAAACCCATATTTTGCATAATTTCCAGGATATAATCCTAAGAAAAAGAATCATAAGCCTTCTCAAAATCCACTTTAAAAATCGTCTAAGGATTTTTCGACCATTTGCTCCAACTGACCACCTCATTAAGAAGAAACAGAGCATCTAAAATTTGTCTGCCTTTAACAAAAGCAGATTGCTCCAAACTCACCACAGAACCAATAACCTCTGCTAATCTATTAGCTAAGAGCTTGCCAATAATTTTGTATTGACAACCAGTTAAACTAATAGGCCTAAAACCCTTGATAGACTTAGGGTTACGAATCTTCGGGATCACAATAAAAAAGAAGAATTGTACCCAATAGGAATAGAGCAATTGTTGTAAAAATGTTGAACAAAAGCCGAGACATCCTCTGAAATAAGATCCCAAAAACTCTTCAAGAAACCAAAAGTAAACCCATCTGGACCCGGAGCCTTATCTGAACCACAATCCCAAACATCTCTTTTAATCTCATCCATAGAAAAAGGAGACTGAAGATAAAGCGCCTGATCCCCAGAAAGGGTATTAAAAAGAGAAGCATTGGTAGACGGACGGGTAACATTTTTCTTTGAAAAAAGATTCGTATAAAAATGATGGAATTCATTCTTCACTCTATTCAGATCATCCACCCATTCGCCATCAATCAAAACTCCTTTGATAGCTAACTGTCTCCTGTTTCGATTAATAACCCCATGAAAAAACCATGAATTTTCATAACCCTCAATACTCCACTGAACTTTTGCCTTTTTGGCTAAATGAACCCTAGAAATATGGTCCAAATCTAACAATTCTTTGAGGAACAAAACTCTACGTTGGCGAAGGTTAGTGTTGCCCTCATTAAGCATAAGAGACACATCAATCCCCTCAATCTCCTCCTTCAAAGCTCTAGACTTTCCTATCAAACGATCTCGGATAGAAGAATTCCAAATTCTAAGATTAGATTTAAGATGTTGAAGTTTCTTCTTAAAAATAACCCAAGGATTATCAAACCACTCCCCTTCTAAAACAGTTGACCAAGAATGATGAACGATATCATCGAAACCGTCCAACATAAATCATGAATGAAAAACCCGAAAAGGAGTTGGGCTATAATCCACACAATGCTCCACCAAAAGAATAGGGCGATGATCAGGAATATATTTATCAAGAACCATCCCTATAGTATTAGGAAAAAACTCCATAATGCCTTGAAAAACCAGAAATCGATCCAATTTACTAAACTTAGACCCCCAATTGTCACACCAAGTAAACCTAGGACACCCCCCACATAAACATCCAATAAATATGTACTATCAATGAAATCATTAAAGTTTGTAGCTGCTGTTGGATGATATTGAGACCCCAATCTTTCCGTATCATCTCGAACTACATTAAAATCTCCCATAATTATGCAATCTCCCGAAATAGAACCAAGCAAGTTAGATAATTGATTCCAAAGAATCCTTTTACAATCAACTGCTTGAGGAGCATAAACTGAAATAAAAAATATTCCTCCTTGAAGGAAGCCAAACCCCCTCAACCGCTACATACCAATCAGAAACAAAAACTCGTTTATGAGAAATATAATCCGGATTCCAAATGACTAGAATACCCCCCGAAGCACCTCGAGAAGGAGAAAAAATAAGAGCACGAGACATTACCCCAAAAAGAACGAACTGTGACAAAATCAACATCCACCATCTTTGTTTCTTGAATGGCTAAAAAGTTAATTCTATGTTTATTACATAACTTTTAACCCAAACCCGCTTATCAATCGATCCTGCACCTTGTGTGTTAATAGAAAGACAATTCATGGCTACGTTTTATTAAAAATCTCCCCTTCAATAACATTTTTAACCTTAGAATAACAAACATCCATATCAAATCCAATCGTTTCCCCCACTTCCAAAGTCTTCTCAACTTCAATATTCAAATAATTTTTATTCACAGATCCTTCTGAAAAATTGTCATCACCAAAAAAAAGTTTTTGTGAAAATCGAGGAGGATGAGTCAGTGATTCTGAGTCGTGAGACAAATAAACTCCCTCCACATGACCAAATCCTCCTGTAAAACCAACCAGACCAACAGAAAATACTGGACCCATAGAAGATGACACTGCACCAGGTTGTAAAGGAAGAACCGCAACAAGAGTTGTTGGGTTGTGAACATGAACAGGCGAAGGATCTCCTCCTACCGATAGGTCATCAATAGGGGTAGAAGATGTTGGGCTATGCATCCGCAATTCTGAACTGTGCTCTGAATGAAAAATTGTTTGGCTATTTGGACCAGTAACTGAAGGTGCTACAACCCTGACCATAGTAAAAATTGAAGAAATATTAACACAATTCCCATTTTGCCCCTATCCAACTTTTTTGCAATTATCCGCTTCTTTCACAAGTTCTGGACTATACACTTCTTCCAAATACTTTTTTGTAGCTTCTTCCTTATTCATTTTCGCTATAATATCATAAATACCAAACGGATCCATCAAATTCTCCTCATTATCATACAAGGAACAATTACTATCCATATTATCTTGTTGATGAATAGTATCAACCTCTTCATCCCTTTGTTGTGGAATATCGAATATAAATGAAGGAGTCCAACCCGGGGTTCTTTAACTCGAACAGAAAACACTTCACCGTCTACCCATACCCGTACCACATCAGATATAATAGATTGAAAGGTTGTCAAAATGCAAACTCTATTTTTATAAACATCCTCTCCTAATGCATCATCAAGTTGAGAAATGACCCCCCACTTAGCAATAATTTTCCTGAAAGAATCTTTACTCCAAAAACATAATGGTAACCCTTCAATATAAAGTCTCACAATACGTTCCAAAGAAACAAAATTTTGATCCCATTCACGTTTCTCTAACACCCAATGGTCCATAGAATCATTCCTCATAAAAATTTTGCATGCATGTTTGGACTTAAATTCAATTGTTACCCACAATCCACCCACATACCTCATCTCAAAGTCCGAAAAACCTTCTTCTAAACACAACATACGAAGATTAGGGAGAGTTGGAAAATCCCTAGCCTTTACAAGACATGCACGTCCCTTCTTTTCAACAATAAAATCACCAGAAATCAAATCAATAATGTCATCTTGCATAACCTTAGTTGATTCATATTCATGTAGTGAAGAAAATTATTATGTACGAATCAGCACCTGGAAAACTATTAAAGCTTAGTTAGGAGAAAAAAGTCATAACTTATTATATAAGTTATGATTTATTAAAAATGATAGATGGTACAAAAGTTACTAACTTTTCATTTTTTTCGATTTTGACACCGTGTTTTTTCTATTACAATTAAGTCACAATGTTTTCAATTTGTTGCAATTCTAAACAATTGACTGATTTACTTTAGGTCATCTCATTGCCACTGCTGACGTGACATGGTGATGTGTCGGAAGCGAAAAAGTGGCATAAGAGTCGCTTTGTTTTCATTTTATTTTATTTTTGCGATATTGACACTAGGTTTTCATTCCTTTCCAATACTGACACTAAGTTTACGATGTTCTCAAGTTTACGATGTTCTCCCCCCCCCCCCCCCCCATCAGTTAAAATCGTCGTTTGTATATAAATTTGTGCATATATTTCATAACTCAAAACAATGTTTGTCTTTTGGTCGTAAAAACATTCCTAATGCATGTTTCTTGACTCAAAATTAAACCATATATGCATTTAATTTGATCGTAAATAAGAAAAATAGAACCATAGATCGAATTAAACGAAAGAAATAGATAATTAACAACTAACTTACGCTTTGTTGGCAGCATAGATCGCATAGAGATGATGTGAAGGTACAACAATGGTAGCACCCGAACCAATAGTAACAATGGCACCTATTTTCCTCTCAACCATTCCTTTAATCATAACTCTTGTTACCAAACTCGTACCTATCACATTCACTTTCATGCCCAGTTGTTCACCATAAATCACCTTCTACATCTCCCTAACTCCGACCACCATATTTTGGCCGAAAAATTCTACAGTGAAAAGCTTGGATAGGTTTCTGCTTACCAAGATTAGGTGAAGACCCTTTTGAGCTAGTTGGAAGGTGTAACGTCCCAAGTTCCACAATAAAATTTTCAAATTTTAAAATAGAATAAACACCAATTTTTTATAGAGTCACATTCAAGCCAACCATATGCTCATAAACCATAATTCAAAATCAAAGTTATAAGGAAAACAATTCATAATCTCTAATCATAAAACCATTGATGTGTAGGTACAATCTCGTTTCTGCAATCTGATAAATACTTGAAAAACATTTGAATCCACAACTGTAAGCCAAAGCTTAGTGAGTTACCAAAAATACCACATACAACAATACATACACAATGCATGTACACATGAGCCTTCAATTTGTTTGGACCACCTCGCAAGGCCTAAAGTATGCATGGACCGCTCTCTCGAGCCTACAGTCTAACTCGACTGCCCATCAGGGTCTAGAATATAGTTAAACCACTCCCTTGGCCTACAGTCAGACTGGACCGCCTTAGAGCGACAACTGTACACCTGGACCGTCTAGGTACTCTTAGGTATATCATAGTTTGATTTTTCCGCTACCCAGTTCAAGTGTATTTGATGCATACAAAACTCAATAGTGGTATTAGAGTTATTGGTTATTAATTACTATTACCCTCAATCTATATTTTCTGTAAATGCTTTTTTGAAATTGATAAGAAGAAGAAAAAATTCAAAATTGGAGAAACTTGTTAATCGCAACCATGACGTGCCCACCTTCTGGCCATGACGTGGTCTGCCAAATTAAGGTTTTTCAGTTTCCTTTTAATTTCAAATTAGAAGGTTTTCAAATATGAGTAATTACCTAATTTAAATTGTTTTAAATTAGTAATGAGATAATTATTACTTAATAGAGATTTAAATTTGAATATTTATTTAATATTATTTAAATGGTGATTAAAAATTAGAATATTTTACCTTATTTTTAATAGAGATTTACAAATTTGAGTATTAACCCCTCATGAATTATTAATTATTACATGACGTGTAACATCCTGTTTCAGATCGTTTTGTGATTTATGGCTCTCGGGCAATAATCCGGGTATGATAGGGTTTTGAGACTTTGAAGGAGAAAGGTTTAGGCCCTTCTTGGATGTAGATAAGGTAGGTTGTGTGATAAAAGGGTTTGGGTTGTACTCTAGATCCCAAGAGTATTGGTGAAGGCGTTGGCTCAATGTTTTATGAATTTTGGGTTTTATTTAAGGTGTTTCAAAGTTTTGATGTGTTGCTAGAAGCGTAGGGATTCTCTCCCACTTTCCATGGATATAAGGTTCGTTGGAAACAAACTTATAACGAAGAAGTTATGATAGTTTAAAGTTTTGGCAAGTTTAGTCCTTATTGAGAATTGGTAGCAATTGGATACGCGGGGCGTACACTTGTGTACGCGCAACGTACTCAGGCACTTTGCATGATCGTGGAGGCCACCTAGTACGTTGGGCGTACTAGGTCCAGAAAGAAACCCTAATATTTTGAGGTGACCCTATTTAAGGAACATGATGGCCTCATTTTCAGCCACCATTTCCAGTCTCCAAGCCCTCTCAAACCCTAATCTCATTTCCCCTAGCTTGTGTGAGTGTGGAGGCTCATTTGAGTGTTCTTGTTGAAGCTCTTAGTAAAGAAGGAGTCGTGAAGGAGGATAGCTTGTGCTTCTAGCTTTTAGATCTGAGTTATACTCTTGTTGGTGCATCTTCTAGAGGTATCAAGTTCGAAACTTGCCTATTGTTGTGATAGCTATAGTTTTGGGTCCATTTTTAGGGTTTTGTGTCCCAAGATTGGAGCTTTATCATTTTGGTGAATTCCAGAGTAAATCTCCTATCCTTTTTTGTGTATTGGGTTGCCTTGATTCCTAAAAAAGAGAACTTGGTCATTTGGACCTCTTCATGCATGTGTTAAGATGATTTAAGAGAGTCTTAATGGTTTTTTTTTTTTGGAAGTTGGGTCCCATTAAGACATGCAAACTAATAAAGTCGCCAACTTTATCAGTTAGGAGCTTGTAATGAAGCTTCCCTGAGGTTTGGATGCTTTGGGTTGAAGTGGTTAAGTCAAAAATAGAGTTTTTGGACCTGAGCAGTACGCCCCTTGTAAGTCCCAGTACACCCCGTGTACTGGTCTGGTTTCCCCGATCAGGAGTCGTGTGTACACTGAGCGTACTAGGGGAGATATGCCCCGCATAGTCTCGTTGTGGGCTTGTTGCATTTTGGGCTTCATATCTTTAGGTTGTTCAATTTGGGCCTCTGGGCCATCTTGGATTATTATGGGGCTAGGAGAAGCTTTGGGCTTAGGATAAGGCCCATACAAGGGTTGGGCCTAATTTGGAACATGGACTATTAGTGGGCCGGTTGTGGATATCCTGGTTGGGTCATGGTAGGCCCAATGGGTTTGGTTCATTGTGGGCCTGATTAGGTGGGGCCATCTTTGGGGCATAGTTTTGAGGTGTAGCCTTGCATAGTTTTTGATTATGGTGTTGGGTTGTTTTGGCTCGGTTTAGGAGCCAGTACGCAACAGCAACAACAGTGTAGGATTTCTTGCATAGCGGTTGTGGTAAGTCTTATCACTATATTACTTGTGTAGTAATGCATGCGTGACCGATGGGTCTTATTTATGTTATTGACCGAAGGGTCTTATTTATATTGTTGACCGGAGGGTCTTATTTATATTATTGACCAGAGGGTCTTATTTGTATTATTGAGACCAGTGGGTCTTACCTGCTCTATGTGTTATTATGCATTATATCTTTGTGACTTATGTTATTATATGATTATTTATATATGTTGAGCTATAACTGGAGGGTCTGCACTGAGACGTGAGACAGGAGGGTCTTCATTGAGACACATGACCGGGGAGTCCTATCGAGATTTAGCCACGAGAGGCTTATTATTTGTGTATGTGGTATGTTGGGAAACCCACTAAGCTTTGTGCTTATAGTGTTGATTTAAATGTGTTTCAGGTACTTCTGTAGATTCCGGGAAGGCAAAGGCATGACTGTACACATTTGTCGGTTTATGATATCTTGTGAATTTTGGGATACTTTGATATTTTTTTATAAATACTTATAATTTATGTGATGACTTGAATTTATGTGTAATATTTGGTGAACTAAAAATGAAAAATTTGTCATGAAATTTAAGGTGTTAGAGTTTGGTATCAAAGCCTTGGTTTGAGGGATTTGGGAACACCCTTGGGTATGTCTGGCCTCAAACTGAGGAGTTCATAACTTTTCAAAAGAAATGATTTTTCATCACATGATTTTCCAAGGAGATTAAAGAGTTTTGGTAGCAGATCCGAAGCGGTGTGTACAATCATCCAGAGCCTGAGCGGTGATTTCCCAAAATACCCTTACTTGATTATGTGTTGTTATTATGAACTAATAGAAATGCATGCTAGTTTAGGCTAGGAATCTGCTCAGAATTGCATGCTAGTGTGCCTGCTTAGGAGAGATGCCTTTATGCCTATTATGTGAGATGGTAGTGTTACATATGTATGATTAGAGATCACCGAGGAGTTTCGAGGTAGGATTGCTTGAGTTCGGAGATGTCTTTTGTGCTATGGATAGAGCAATTGGGATTGTATGCTAGAGTGGTTTTAAGTGTCGATGGAGGTTGCTTGATGCCTGAATGTTGCTTGCTTTGTGCTTTTAGAGACTCCCATTAACGGCGACTAATTATTAACTAGATATGTTAGGTTAGATCTTTCATGTAGTAGATAATTTTAGAAGGTTAGATTTAACTCTATTGTGCGGCCCTCGAGTGAGTCTAATCGTTGTAGGGCGGAATCTTGCAGTCAAAGAATTATCTAGTGCATGTAGCATGTAATTGTACTCGAGGAGTAGTTAGTAGGTATTAATAGGAGTTCCTTTTGTAGCTGATGGCAGAGAGCGGAGTGAAGGGAATATTAAGAGAGCCTAGGGAGTAATTTCAGTCTGATGAGTGCATTGTTTAGCGGTGAGTATTCGCTGGGGAGTGAGCATGTGGAATGGGATTGGTCGATAGGGGAAGTTGAGTAGGTACTTAGAAAATCTGGTACGATCCTTGAGGAAAGTATGGGTAGATGTGGAAGGTAGTATTGGGCCTGTACTACTTAAAGTAGAGGATCCATATACGAAACAAAAATAATTCCAGAGGTTTTAAGTAGCAGGTTCAGGGGAGATAACATGGTTTGGGTACCATGATTCATGGTAGTGAGTGTTTCCGTCCTTACCAGTTATCCAGTTGTGGTCGTTCAGACTGAGAGTGGGTCTGGTAAATTGTTAGGCTTTAGGGCCATGTCGGTCAGGTTTAAATAGAGTAGACCTTGCAAGGAAAGTTTAGTTTAGGTCTCGAGGGATTTCACCGGTGAGGTGCCAGTTGGAGTCGCGGGGCTCAAAAAGGAAGTAGAGATGATGCGATGTTGAGGATTGCAGTCTGAGTTGAGTGATCGGCCGATGGATTGTGATGGCAATTTCTATAACGAGGATTATATTATTCCCGCTTTCCGTTTTGGAAGGAAGGGTGAGTGAGCTTCCGATTTCAAAGATTAGAGGAAGACCCCATGAGGTACTAGATAGTTGGGGTATTTGCATCAAAGGGATTTTGTGGTATGAGTGCCTTGTAATATTTCTTATGCCGTAAGAGAGTCATCAGTGGGGACTGTGACCGACAAGGTCAAGGATATGCCTTGATTGAGTTTGGTAAGTCGTATTTAAGCAAATGATTCAGGTAATCAGGAGGAGTATATCAGAATGACGACCCTCATTATCTATGTTGCGAATCGATTGTGCGGGTGAGGTTACCTATTTCGATGTTGATTCTTGTGATGAGGTGTTGGGTGAGGATTCAGAGAATGAAGCGGGTGATAGTCCATTATTTCCA